CATTCCTGATTTTAATGAAAACGCGATCATGGGTATAACCCCGCGGTCAGCGTTTCGAACGCCCTTTTACCCACCTGCCCTCTCGCGCTACCCTATTTCCTCCGCCAAACCGAAGAAAGCCGCTCCTCCCGCACTCCCCAATCACGTAAGAAATCCCTATCGCCGTTCTTGATTTTAGCGTGAAGCATTTTTTAGTGATTCTAGTCTGAGCCTTGGGGTTTTATCAATTACCTTTAACTCTCTTAATCCTTCTTTTGAAGTTTGTTACACTTATCAATTACCTTGGGGTTTTATCAATTACCGTTCCATAGAGCTCAAGAATCTCCTCCACACATAGATCTGTCTGTGAAAAGTGGCTTGGCAAGGGTGAGGGAAAGACTGCTGGGATTTGAGCCTTACAAAGTTCAACTCAAGATGGGATGAGTTAACTTGTAGAAAACCCTTTCTCTGCGTCAATTGGAACTGAAACCATCAAGCCTGAAGTGCAGGTAGAGAGTAAAAATTTGATATAGAATATTAGATCAATTTCATTGTTGACAAATTTACAACAAAACATCAGCAAATCTGTTGTATTTACATATCTAACACCCAAAGTTTGATATTTTCACACCTTGATGTCATAAAGTTCCGCAGGAAAAGTTGTATTTCACTTTTAGAAAGGTATCATTTCTATGTGATATTATAGATATGAGTGGTATGAATGTACCTATGAGTTTTAGTTCATTGAATATTTTTTCCCTGAATATTTGAATTATTTTAAATTTGGCACCTTCAGCTTTGCTGAAATTTGACTAGGTTCTTCTGAAGTTGCTTTGCTAAAATTACAATACATGTTGTTTAATTGAGCTGATTAAATGCATATATGTTTGGCTCCATGGAATGGCAATTATTTTGTCAAGGAAGTTTTCTAGAATTTCAGTTCTTTTGCTTTGCTAAAATGTTGTGAGGGTGCTATATTAATCAAAATAACTTTATGGAGAAACTGCTACTATAAGAGTAGATATTGCAGTTTTTTGGAGGACAATACTAATTTTACGTGCTAGATTGTTCATTTAACAAAAAAAATCTGCAAATCAGCTATTTATAAAACGCACAAACCAAACAGCTTATCCAGAACAGGGGCAGATTGATCATTTATCCAGATCAGCTGTTTTCCAAACACACAAACCAAACAGCCAGTCAACTTATCCGGATTAGCTGGTCATCAGCAGATTATCAGCATAAGCTGGATAAGCTGCAGCTGCCCCAAAAAGACCCTTAGTTAGCCTACATGATCATCCTAAAAACAACTGCCAGGAAATGCTTTTTGGAGAACTAAGCATTTTCTGAAGCTCTTAATGTGAGCGCCATGCACAGCCTAATCACTTGCAATGACAGCTCAACTTCAATCCTACTCTACCAATAATAAAAACTCTATCTTGCCTAAGAAAATATTAGGTTCGCCAGAATGGATAGTTCTTTGATTGAGATTTTATTACCAGTGGAAAGTTAACTGCTGCCAAATTGGGATTTTAAGGTACCAACCATCCAAAACATTAAATATAACATTTTAACCACCCAAAGTTTAAATAAAATATTTTAACCACCCAAAACTTTCACTCACAAACTTCATGAGTGGGTTTAAGAGAGTAATTGTAATTAAAAAAGTGGTTAAAATGTTATTTAGTGTTTATAATTTAAACTATTATACTTAAAATTTTGGGTGGTTGGCATGTAAGAACCCCAATTCAATTCAAAGTAAAAGAAAATAACAGTTGCAAAACAAGCATTCCAAATGAATCTGCAGGGCAAATAATTATACCAGAAATGAGCACAGTAAAGAGAAGCAAAGCATACTTGAGAAGAAGCTGCATGTCAGGGCCGGGATAGCGAATTTCGATCATAGGAGAATGACCCGGCGTAGAGAAAGTATTAAGGCAATCGACAAATAATCCTAGGCTTAACCCGAACCTTGGCCGACCCTCAGCAGCATAATCGTAGATCAAAAAGAGCTGCATTACATATTTATCAACGGAAAAGAATGAAAAGAAACCATGAAATCACAGTTCTTAGGTTAAAAGCGAGGTTACAACAATACCTCGCGCTTGAGATACACCTTCGCCTGCAGACAACCGGTTTCTTCCACGATCAGGACTATTCCGTGCTCCGATAGCTCGATGACTGCGTCCTGCGTTAGAAAAAAGAAAAAAAAAAAACTAGAAATAGCGGTAAAGGGAAAAAGGAGAAGGAAGGTTTTTAATGGGAGGCCATGGAAGTACCTGGTTCCGCTTCCAGCGTACCGAGCTAAGGGCATCCACCATGCCCTGAACGCTGTCGAGCTGACAAACGAGATCCGGGGCCTCGGCTCCACCGGCGGTAGGGCTCATATCTGCCTTCTCTTCTGTGTGTACTCGACGTGTGAGATCGCCGGCCCGGTCTTTTCCCGCCAAACCTTTCTGCTGTATTTATTTAGACTTTTTTTTATTTTTTTTCCAGATAATTACATTAGATCACCCGAAATTTAGATATTTAATTATTTACAAATTAGTGCTATCAAATCCATATATTTACATGTTTCATAAACTAACGATTGAGAATTTCATAAAGATGAAAATATGAGTTGATGTTTTATTGGAGTTTTACATTTTGATATTTTAGAGAGAATTTGAATTTTAAAAATGGATAAAAGAGCCTTTTATTTGTAAATAATAAGTTTGAGGTGATTTGTACGTAATTGCCCCGTCCTTTTTTCGATCTGTTTGGAGCAGTTGCAGCTTATTGAATAATCTGTTGATAAGTTGATTAAAAATAACCTGTTGATAAGCTAGGTGTAGTGGCTATTACAAATTTTTATTTTTTTAGAAAAGTAATACCGCAGCTAGAAAGCTGTCACTGCACCTAAATTGGTGGAGTGTGAAAATGCCGCTTTCAGCATTTTCAAAAAGCATAAGCTGTCAATACTCAGTTTACCCAAACAACTCAGGTGTGTTTTCAAAATATCACCGCACCCTTAATCAACCTCTGTTTTTCCAAACACAAGTATCAGTTTTAAATTTTTAGTTGTTTTAATGGGAAATAATAACAATTTTTAAAGAAAGATTTACAAGCATATCACTTAATTCGTATGTATTTACATTTCAAACACCTAAATTTATCTTTTTATTAAAATGATGATATTTTTTATATGATAAGAATTTAGAATAACAGAAACTGTTTATTGAGGTTTTGATGAATTATATGAAAGAATTATGACATCAATGAGGGATTGCAGACCTGAATCAATTGTGTTGTCAAGGGAAAATAATGAGCGTAAAGAGTTTAATGTTGGTCCAAATCAAGTAATTACAATCATTAGTTGATGTTGCTGTTATGAGTTAATAAACATTGAGAATGGATGGCAATTTTTAAGAGTTGGGTAGTAAATGAACTGACGCACTTGATGAACAACTTGAACTTGTTTCGATTAATACTCGATTAAATTTATTTAGATTTGTAACTAAATAAATTTGAACATTTTTTAAATA